AGGCCTCGAAAGGAGGGATGATGTGTGAATTAATCACACAAAATTGGTATACAAAGGGGTTTACGGCATTTGCACAGAGATTCTGCCAAACATGCGCTATATGCCTCGCGCATAACCCAGGTAAGTCCCAAAAGTATCCAACAGGCTGCTCATCCTCCGCCCCTGCGCCCATTTCAACATGTCCAAAGGGACTTTTGTTGAACTCACACCATGCCAAGGTAAGTAATACTGTCTGGGTCTGGCGGATCTCTGGTCCAAATGGACTGAAGTATTTGCAGGCATACACGCCACAAGCAACGCGGTGGGGAAAGCTCTGCCCACAAAAAAATTATGCATTGGGGTGTCCCGAGGGAAAATCTCTAGTGACAAAGGCAGCCACTTTGTAGCAAAAGTCATGAGGAAGTGGGGGAATTTCTGGGCATCGATCCCATTCGAAACCCTCTGGGCCAGATCCACCCAACTTGGGCGCGGGACCCCGAACAGAGATCTGCCAAACACCTCTTTGTGTGATGACATGCTGTCCTATTGTAAGGAAATTAATGCACTTTTGTCCTCTATTTATGCCAAGGTCCGGAGCGCGCTGCCACAGGCTGCGCAGGCGGCTCCACACAGGATCAAGCCAGGCGACTGGGTCCTGGTGAAGGAAACGAGACGAAAGCATTGGCGGTCCAAGCGCTGGCTCGGCCCATTCCTCGTCCTCCTGGTGACGGACACTGCCGGTCGCGGAAGGACAACTTGGATCCACGCCAACCACTGTCGTGCGGTGCTGCCACTGAGGGCCATAGACGAGGACACCGAGGGCGCGGACGGACCAGGCCCATCCGCGGCTCCCTACGCTGCAGAGGTCGGCAGGCGTGCGACCCCGTCGGTGAAGCAGGCCAACAACAACACCCAGAGAATCCCAGCGTTGCCGAGGCAACCCCCCTTTGCCCAACTCCCCAGCCCCCGGACCCCAAAACCTGGGAACCATGAAGGCCCTGAGCGCTCTGCTCAGCTGCAGCAAGTATGCAGAGCTGCTGCTCATTCCAAAGATTTCTCCAGAGCCTGCTCCCTCTGGCCGATCTGGAGCGTGCTCAAGCTTGCCGCTCCAAGACCAAACATCGCAATGACCACTAACGCTACACACACGCTGATAGGGAGCGGTGCCAATGACTGTGTTCATTATGTTAATATTGTCTTCTCTTACCGCTGTCCGGATCCATTGTGTTATTATAACGTGCTCTTTCTTCTTTTGACAAGCATGTTTCTTTTCTTGTCCACTTTGGACAGCAATAAGTTAAGTGTTTCAAGCTTGAAGGTGATGTGATTATGATGTCTCTGTTATTTAACTGATTAATGCAAAAATGGTTTTGAATTATCAAAAGAGGGGATTGTGATGACAGTTTTCAGAGTAGTCACACATCATAACCAGCCACAGCCAATACGCGGACGTGGAGGGCCTTTCAGATGCAGAGACGCCCTTCTGACGCCATGCTGTGCTTCCTGAGGGTCCCTGCTGCCATGTCACACCCTTTTGCCTCCTCCATATTATGGCCATTGTCTTGTCTGCTCACACCCCATGCAGGACACACCATAGGGGGTGGTGCCGGCGCTTCCTGTGTGGAGCAGGCTGTGGCCCCCTCCAATCTGTTGTGGGCGGGACTGACTTTCTTGTTGCTCTGTATACACGAGACTGGGGGCTCGGCCCCCAGAGCTAGGAGATACGACCTGTCGGTATGTGTCTGCTTCTCTCCTCACGCGCGTGTGATTCCATTAAACTTACGCTTTTGACTATGACAAACATCTTTGAGTTTTTCTACTGCATTGGGGTGTAATATTCCCCCACAGATACCATCAAACTCAAGAAAATCACAGACATTGTTACCATCACGTATGCACACAAACTCTTCCCTCTGCTTGTATCTGTATCACAATGAATGAATGGATGTATATATTTTCATTGTTCATTTGATGTTTAGTATAATGACATATGTTACACTCACCAGGTGTACTGCAACCCAACATGGCTTAACTGACTTTGGTGCAGGTCTCTCAAGAAACTGCTTAAAAATAACGGTACACTGACCTCAATGTTACGCTGCAATTACGACTGCAGCGTGGAAGTACGGGAAGAATCTGTCATCTGAGGGTTTTAATCTTCTCACGATCTCGAAGTGAACCCACATGCCCCTAAACCTCAAAATACAGTGTTTTTCAACCAGTGTGTCGCGGTACTTTAATGTGCCTTGAGATGTTATTCGGTGTGCCTTAGGAAATGATCCAATATCACCTACTTGGTCAAAATAATGTGAAATAAAATAATTAGAAGATTAGAAATACTTCTTTGCACTTCTCTGATTATCTATTTAATACAATGTGATGATAATTACTTTTGTTTTGTTAATAAAGACTGCAGGGTAACATCAGTTGGTTTCGGTTTCAGCTGGTAGTGTGCCATGTGATTCTTTTAAGTGTTAAAGGTGTGCCATGGCTCAAAAAGGTTGGGGAACAATGGTTTATAGTACCTACACAATCAATATTTAAAAATGGGGATTTCACTTCCTGCATGACTCCCCAACTTTCCAAAAGCAGTATGTGCTCTGGCCATGACTGGTTTTAAATTATCTGCAAGAGTTATCCTCTGCAAATGGAAAAGCCTCGGACAGTCCAGTTTTTTAAGGAATGTCTTAAATCCATCTCTGAACCGTTAGAGGTGAAACAACATCATAAAGAATTCATACTTACAGACTTAGAGGAAATTCCTGATCTCACAATGGATAAATCCACATACCCAAACGAGTTCTTTTATATATGTTAGTATTGTATTTTTGATAAATATTATTTTCCAGTCTGTACTGCATTGTTGTTTTTGCATCTTTGTGTTTCAATAATGACTACATAAAATGAAGGAAATAGGACGGAAAAATATCCAGTTAAGATTATGCCCCTTATCGAGATGATCTGATTGTCATGTTTTAATGCACAACTGCAAATAATGTGGGATTAAATAAAACCCAATCTAGGATAATATTCAAACACAAAAAACAAACTAAAAACATGAACAAGACGTGGGGAAAGACAATGGACTGACTACAAGAGGAGAGGCGCACAGGGGATCTATACACAATCAGAGACACAGGTGAGAGACAGTAGGGTGGGGCAGGACAACACAGGAACAGGAAATGAAAACTCACTCAGGACACAGGACAAACCAATATAACAAACTGAAACAAAGTATCATAAAAGATCTAGACCACAACACTGAAAAATCCCGACCTCAACCACTGTGGATTTGAACGATAGCAATTTCCTTCTGCCTACTTTTTAAATCTACGTACGCCCCAGTTACCTAATGTAACTAAGGTTCTCTGAATATGTTGCAAAGCCCTGGGCGGGAAGTGGTGCTTCCGAGAGATATGCAATAGCGAAGCCTGAAGGGCTGAAGCAACATATGAAATAGAAACACATCCCTTTCATGTGGAATCTTTGCATTCAAATAAATCCATCTTTTAAGCAAGTTTGTGAAAGGGTAGAAGCATTTGAAGCGTTAGAAGCAGAATCTCCACAACACCATCAAATTGACAATGAGCCGGTTCACTAAAGTTATGTCATGTTTCAGCAAAATATTAACATAACTTTAGTAGGTTATGGTTCAACTGTTGACATTGGACGCTCGTGTTATGCATAAAATAATTTCCGATCAATATATCGAGTTCAAACGTTTACAATAAAGTATAATGATCCATGAATGTTATTAACTGACCAACAAAATATATATTGTAAACGACTACTTAAAATCAGCAGCCTACTTTTTAGGCAGTAGTGAAGAAAGTGAAATGTGGCAATACATTTCTATCACGTTCAGTACTTTTCTTTGCATCTTTTAATTGAACTCACTTGTAGATCAATCACTTGTCAGGTCCGTGGGCTGTCAGTGGATTTCAACGGCTGCGATTTTGCCCTTGTTCATCAGAATGCAGCGCTCGCAACATGAAAGCATTCTCTCCTTACAGTCTCTTTACATTCAGACGATGCCAACATGTCTCCAATCGTCCATTCAATTCTTTGTGGATGATACCATTATAATAGTCACAACACATCATGGAGAAGTCTCTGTGTCACTGAAGCTGGGTTTCAAACGGCATTACGACATTCTATAGACCCACGTGTGTGTAGACAAAAAACTTATTTTAGGAGAGGTAAGAATAATGTATGATAGTTGTCACATATCAATATTGAGGGATACTGTACATACTATTTATTGTTCATGTTCACTATCAATTCATTTGATTATGAATTCATCTGTGTTCAAATTACACACAATACTATTCCTTCCACCATGTCAAATTTAGAGCTGGGCTACCTAACTTTTAAACCACACAAACTGCAACTATGTAATACAAGCCATCAAAATAGTCTCTCGCACTCACAACAGTTTAACTATATCACTGTACTTTTTGGCCTTTTACTTGCATGTACTTTTTGGCCTGACATCTTTAGATCGGCTTTTTCGGACAGTAAAGTGAAAAAGAGAGGACCCCTTTCATTCAGCCAATCAGCTCTCTTTTCTTTTTTGACAAATGCTAATCAAGCATTCAGTATTGTACTCGGAACCAGAGCAGAGAAAATGGCGTGAACCAAGCGGACTTTGCAGACATCAACCAAGATAGGAAGCAGCTCAAGTACCAGCGGCTACACCACCTCTGCTGCTGTGACCTTTTTTAGAATTATGGATTCATTTGTTTATATGGATGTATGTGTTTCTGCTGCTGGACACCTGAATTTCTCCAACGAGGGTTCAATAATCTATCTATCTATCAACTAGTGACTCACAAGGCTCTTTCTACCAAGTATGCAAAAGTTAAATGTTTTCTAATGAGTCTGATTTGTTCACAGTATTATACTTTCCCCAATACGTATTATTCATGAAACAAAAGAAGTTAGGTACCTCAGCTTTAAGACCGCAGGACTTTACAATGTTGCAGAGACGTCTAAAACCCAGCATATGCATGATGTATATTTTATAAAGGAAAGACCATAAATCCAGAGAAGGTGGAGTACTGCCAGCCTCCCACCAGGTTCCCCTTCTCCAGCTTCAGGTAAACTTTGTCCTCCTTCTCCAGAAACAGCAGCACTCCGTTTGTGGCAGCTTCACGAGTCACATCTTTGTCTCCAGCGAAGGCAGAGATCACAGGTTTCCCGTTCAGCATCAAGTTCACCTAGACACAACAATTAAACAAAAGTCTCATTTCCATCTCTGTCATAATGTCCACACTACTCACCGAAAGATATGGCCTCAACATTTATGCAGCTTAAACATAGACAGTGCCTTGACAAAGTATTCATACCCAATCAACTTTTTCACGTTTTGTCTTGTTACGGCATGGGAAAGACCAACACAAAATAACAGACAATCGCGAAGCTAACGTTTCAGGATTTTATTATTAAAAACACACCTAGTTAAATTGGACCTTATAAGAGTAGAGTCTATAGCAGAGGTTTGTTAAGAGAATTTTGGTCAATAAACAACATGAAGTCCAATGAGCAGCTCAGGGATGAAATTTGAGAGGTTTACTTATATACATCCTAATAAAGTGGATTGGGTAAATTTTTCCCAAGCTTTGAATATCTCACAGAGTTTAATCTATCTTCCGGGAATGGAAAGAGAATGGTACAATTGCAAACCTACCAAGACATGGGTGTCTTCCCAAACTAAAGGCTATGCCCCACGGCAAGAAGAAGCCAAAAGGCAAAACCAACAATCACACACAAGTTGCTTACACTCACAAACATTCCCAGGTCGGACGGTAAATCTCACAAAATCTTTTGAGAACAAACACAATTTCAGAGTCAAAAAACAAGTTTGTAGATGACCAAAGTTCACTGGAGTCACTTTTTTGATTCCGGTATTTCCTAAGCCACAACTTTCTTTCTGATTGGCTCCTTGTCACGCTAAATTATCTTAAAGTTGCGCTTCGGAAAAAACCAAAGGAGAGATTGGGCAAAAACAATCCAACATGTTGAATATCACCGATTTGAGATCAGAGCTGTACCGACGTCCTCCCGAGCAGACAAATGCAAGTCAATTATTCTTTTTACTTCTATGTATTTTTGTCTAGTACTAAATCCCAATAGCAGTCGTTTCGGAGAACTTTACAAAGTGTTTGATCTCCAACAACAGATCAGAGAATCAAACCGTTTGAACACAGGAAATGCAGTAATAACACATTTCTCCCACTGTGGGATGGGATGTAGGATAAGGATCTCTTCATCATAATAGGAGCCATTAGTCCATATGGAGCGGATGATCAAGGCTCATAAATGTCCATTAATGTCCTTAAATGTTTCGGATCAGCAGTCTTAACACACCACACATGGCAGGAATATCCTATGAGATTATTTTTTTTCAAAGCCCCCACTGAAAGATCAAGGCTATGCTCACACTCAGAGAGCAGCCGTCCTCCTGTGGACTCACCACCTGCAGAGGGTCAGTGAGGGGCTGGTGCTATGAGACTTGGGTGGCATCTCTGACTGCCACCCCCCTGACCCAGAAATGGATTAAAGGGTAGAAAATGGATGATTATTTTTTGATGAGATAAGATTGTCGGAGCGGAGAAATGGGGCAGAAACTGGTCTCATTACATCCTACTGTGCTCATCACTCCGAAAACCTGGTGGAGCAGGGGAATAGTGGAAGGAAAGGTGTTGGAGACCGAAAAAGACTGGAGTGGATGTTTACCTTCTATCAGGATATTTTACCTCAACAAAAGTATATATGAATGTGTTAAAATGGCCCAGTCATTGTCCAAATGTATCCATTTGAAAATATGTGGGCATGTCTAACAATCGGCTGTTGACAAATGCTCTCTACCTAATTGGACCCCAAAGACATGCCCCAAAAGCTGTAATTGTAGGAAAAGGTGGTCCCAGTCCATCATAAATTAATGATTATACTAAATACTTTCTAAAACTTTTCCTTAGTTTGGGAATTGAAATCACAAATTGTAAATGTATTGTGAAACAGAGGTACAGGACATGTTTGAGGAGACAGTGTCACGGTCAGAAAGTTTAAGTACAATTATTTTATGTCCATAATAATGATATACAATAGTGTTTTATAGCACAAGGGCGAAGTACATTGTGTTGCTAGCTTAGGCTTACAATTATGGAAGAATTGTATGGTCTTGTCAAGTTCATATAATGGCCATAATTTGTATTCTTTTATCACAACCAAAACCAAAATAACTTGCATCTCTCCATCAGTGACTCATGGACTGAACCAGCTCTAAACATGACTCGACTGATGATTAGTGGAGCGAAACACTGTGTGCAGACAGAAATTTACTTTTGCAGCTGGATTCATCCATTTGAATTAAAATATGTGCTTTTTACACTGTTGAAAGATCAATCCAGTACAAATATTTCACTTTTTGGAACACATTTGGGGCGACAGTAGCTCAGTTGGTAGAGCATTGGCCTTAAGCCCAGAAGGTCGTGGGTTCAATTCCCACCTCTGCACCTTCTCCACCGACTCCCACTGATGACTGCTGTCGTTGTGTCCTTGGGCAAGACACTTAACCCCACTTTGCCCAAAAAAGCCCCCACTGAAAGATCAAGGCTATGCTCACACTCAGAGAGCAGCCGTCCTCCTGTGGACTCACCACCTGCAGAGGGTCAGTGAGGGGCTGGTGCTATGAGACTTGGGTGGCATCTCTGACTGCCACCCCCCTGACCCAGAAATGGATTAAAGGGTAGAAAATGGATGGATGGATGGATGGATGGAACACATTATACACCACATAGTTGTAGCACTTCAATATGGGCTAATGTAAGCAGGAACAAAAACATTATGATGTGTATATATATTTTGACCTCATACACGCATTTGAAACAATTTCAACTGTGAATGCTGTTCTCGACATGTTTGCTGTGAGTTGAAGTCTTACCTGTATGGTTTGGCTCTGGTAAACTTTGATGACATGAAAGTTGAAACTGTACACTCCTTTCCTCGGGGACAAGAACACAGACTCAAGCGTGAAGTAGTTTCCAATATTCACCAGAATCTGAAAAGAAAAAATAAAGGCTATTTTGGGCTATAATGGGCTTTATTGTGTATATAGATATCAATCAATCAATCAAATTTTATTCATAAAGCGCTTTTCATACAACAAATGTAACACAAAGTGCTTTACAGTTTAGTTAAAAACAATCCAACATGCCCAGCCCTAAACCCTCCTCCCCACAGACCCCCCCAAAACCACATTTATAATTTATATAAACACACACACACACACACACACACACACACACACACACACACACACACACACACACACACACATATACACAAGTATAAAGTCATATCAGGTAAAATAGGTAAAACAATAAAAAGAAATGGGGCTGGGAGCAGATGTAACCGGCTGAAGAAGTGCCATCCAAGGAGCCATCTGCACCAGGAGCAGAGAGCCGGCTGCAGCCACAGGGAACGACACAGGACCCAGAGGAGAGAGGGGCCCCAGACCCCACCAGGCCCAGGAGTCAGACCCCATAGGACCCAGAGGAGAGAGGAGGCCCCAGACCCCCACCGGATCCAAGAGCCAGTCCCCCGAAGCCACAGCAGACCCCAGCTCTCAGTGCAGAGGGCTCCTCCAGAGGAAACACTGGGGACACTAAAACAATACAATAATACAATAGAAAGTAGAACAATAAAATGAGACACTAAAAAGAAAAATGGCAGCTGCCTAATATTGATAATAACAATAGTAAATGGGTAGATACAATAAATAATTAAAAACCCAAAACAAAAAAAACAATCTTATACAGAAAGGTCTGGGCCTCACACAAACACTGTAAATAATATACAGAGCTTGTGCTCTCTTGTGTCTTTCCCATTTATCAAATGTTTGTGTCGAAATAAAGCGTTTTGCACTTTATTACACAGTTGTTACTTAATTGCCTTTTTAATGGAAATTCAGACCGAGCGTCCACATATGTGGACAGCATTTTTCTCAAAATTTACATCATGTCAAGAGATGATGCTTAGTATATATTCTTATCTGGCCCCAATATGCCCAATTAGCCAAGATAAATAAAAAATGCATTGCAAAAAAGTGCTCGGGTCTTAGGAGGTTAAAGTTATAGACTCCCAGTAGCAGCCATCTTCCTGTGGACTCACCACCTGCAGAGGATCAGCGAGGGATTGGTGCAATGAGCATTGGGTGGCAGCTCTGATTGTCACCCCCCAACCCAGAAATGGACCAATTAAGGGGTAGAAAATGAATGAATGAATGACTGCCAGTTATATAGGTCCCCATGATGCGCATTTGGCCCCTCCCAAAAAAAAACTGAACCAAGTGCGTACTGCTCCCACTGCACATGCGCCAAAGTAGTGCAGCCAGTGTCATGTGATGTGACTATACCGTAATGTCTCCATAAACTTAAAAAAATGGCTGAAGAGACCTGATTCAAAGGATGTATTGACACACACCTGTAAATAAGCGTGAAATAGGGTTGTGGTTCCCAAAGTGGGGTCAAGGACACAAGCTAGGGGTTAATTGATGATTTCCCGATTATTTTCTAAATTATATACATTTACATCCGATATCACATATCATCAACATATTCTCATTTTAATCAATATATTACTGTTTGTTTTGAAGGTCCTGGCCTGAAAAGTTTGGGATCACCATGGGCACTGATTCAGGCTGCATATTGAAAAGAAAAATGACTCCTTTAACTAACTGATAAGTTGAATCCTCCAGTGAACAATACTCACTTCTTACACCTCCCTTATCTTTAACCTTTTTGCATTCAATAACATAATCACATAAAGAACATAATTAGGTACAAAAAAGCTGGAGGTGGAACAGAGACAAAGAAAGTTAAACCGCACAACAAATATATTTATTTTAGTTAGGTGGATTTTTCAGGCTCTATCATCGCAACAGGCTGCTTTGGACCCACAACAATCGGATCATCAGCGGTGGGTTGTGAGAGCAGCACATCAGCTCATTGTTATTCACAGGCTGGTTAAACACACAAACACACACACACACACACACAAACACACACACTGTGCCGCAGTCGCTGTGTGCTTAGTTGTGTGTGAGTGCAAGTGTCCAGCAGTGAACAGATGTGCTTATCACTGATTATGAATATGATTAGGGAACATACAAACTTACGATTTGGTTACGAGGTAAAAACTGTGGTTAAAAATACTTTAGTTTCTCTTTTTTAACCAAATAGTATGCATTCTTTTTTATTCTATTTGTTCCCTAACATCATGAGTACCATTCGTTGGGCATTTCCTGTTGTCACTGTTGGACCAGACCCAGCACGGTTTCTGTGAGGGGAGAAAACAATGAAGAGCTAAACACATGATATTAGCATGGACTGAAAAGGACTCCAGGTGTTTCTTGATAAGGGAATGGAAGCATGGTGTTAACGGAATTTTTAAAAAGTATATTTTCGCAAGAATGATGCATATCAAAATAATTCACAACAGCAAATGTAATAACTGAGGCCTATAATGTAATAACATGAAATATAGTTCACTCAGAACATGTTTTTGGTAGTATGAATGATTGGGATGTCAATATTTTACAGATAATACACATATTTTTGTTTCTTTTAACACTCAAACGGGTGGGATAATAATATTGATATTGATACTGTGGCCACAAGGTAGAAGCCCCTCTCTTGCTGGCTTTCTGTCATTGGGTTCAGACTGATGCTTATGGACCCACCACAGACTCTTATTAACCCTAAATTAGAGTCTAAAAGGGTCTAAATGACCCAAGGTGGATCAAGTTAGGAAAGATCATCAATATTCAGCTTGAAAAAAGAGATAGTCACTCGTTATACGTATATTATATGTTGAATTTGCATTGGAATTTGTTGAAACAAGTTATAAGAAAGTAAAAAATAAAATAAAATAGATATAAAGACTTGAAAAATCTGAATGCAACAGAGTCGTGGCTGGAGGTGCAGTGGTTGGTGTACAGGAAGAAGTGCATGGGAGACAGAACGCAGCCTGTGCATGTGTTTTTACAGTTCTCCAGTCAGGTTTTGGACATGGACACAATTCTCATATCTGGGGAGGGCACTCAGGTGGGCGAGCTGAGCACAGACGTGGGATAGATACAACATAAAGTGCAGTAGCCAATCAAAAGGTCGAGACAGAGGAATGATTTGTCTCATCATTCAAACAATTTGGCTTTAAAGACCATGCTTTCATCTTCACCAGGGGGTAATGTAATCACCAGCGTTTGTGTGTCAGTTAGTTAGCACATTTTCAGTAAAGCTTGGAAATGAGACAAGGAGCAAATGATTACATTTCATGGTGATCCAGACTACAGATTAAAACAAACTAATAGTGGTGTAATTAGTGTAGAAAGAACTTCAATAGCAGTGAATACATTTACATTTGTTTATTATTTCATAACGTTTGAGGAAATGCGCGCTACTATTCAGGGAAAAGGGGCAGGGAAAACAGTGTGTCTCTAGAGCACGCACACGTACGCACTTGTGGGCTGGTCTTATGTGCAGACGTGACGTGCAGCCCACCTGATGGAGCAGCCATCAGGTGGGCCGCACGTCATGGATTGAGCCGTGCCTATGCTCGGCTTGCACACTGCGCTAAAGTTCGGCCGGAGCCAAGCTCTGAGTTACCGTCTCAGCCTCCAGGTCTGCTGAACCCATTATACTTTCAATAGCTCGAGTGACATCATGTTCAAACATGAGGATATGAGCGCTACTATTCAGGGATGATCAACATATCCAGAGTGACTTTCAGAGGAAAACAAAGACGAATTTTACCTAACATTGAGGAGCTATTGAGAAGCATGGAGAGGACGACAGAAGAACCACTCATCAACCTATCCATTCGAACAAAAAAGCTCGGCAAAATGCTTCTATCCACCACAGGAAACAGAGAAGCCAAATGGAGTTAGCTGCGCTAATTGTATAAAAGAAAATAATGTTACACATAGAAAAGTTCAGCCAATTTTTGGTTTTGCTGGATGTTCACATTTAGATTGCATATTTATAAAGATCTCCTCCAAATAAGCTGGAGGAAGTTTGTCCGTCATAGGCTGCTGCCTCCTCAACCCAATAAAGCCAAAAACATTGACAATTGTCCCACAGAATGTTGTATTTTCATTCTGCAGGGGGCACACTCCAACTTGCCATCGCTGACCTGCTTTAGTGTCGCCACATCCATGTAGAAGTCAGATTTGTTTTGAAGAATATGTTTACTACTTGTGTGCTCCCTGTGTGCTTTTTCTACTGTCCTGTATGTGCGCGGCAACACCGGAATTTCTCCACTGTGGGATGAATAAAGAGCTTCTGTATATGTCCATTGGCAAGAAGGTTCACAGCAAGAAGGTCTTTATGTTTGATTCCAGACGAGGCCTTTCTGTGAGGAGTTTGCATGTTCTCCTCACCTGCATAGGTTTCCTCCACATGCTCCAGTTTCCCCTCCCTCTAAAAACATGTTCAGTAGTTGAGGATGAGTGGTGTGAATGTGTGTGTTGTGACTGCAACAGATGTAAATCAGCCCAAGGCTACAGTCCAGAGAGGCAGGATCATTAGCATGCACTGTCTCCATGAAGTCACCTCCTACTCACCCATGATGGACAGTTTGTTACATACTCCTCTCCTCACCTGGTCAAAGTAGATGATCCTGGTCTTGTTACTCATCTCAGAGGGCTCGTGGTTGTTGCTTCTCACTGCAGAAAACGCCACTTTAGAGTTTGCGGCGCGCACAGATATGCCCAGAGGAGAGGAGGAGGACTTCCAGTCAGTGGCTGGGTTGGAATCACACACGACCAGGCACTTGCCCTCCAGCACGATGGGCTCCGTGTCGTTCTGAGCCCACAGCAGCTCACACAGCGCGGACACCAGCAACACCAGACACAGCCACTTCTCCATGGTTCTTCTCATGGTCGACAGTCCCAGCTCCAAACACTCTCAGATTCTACCAGCCAATATGGAGCACATATCCAGTGATGGAAAGAAAGCTTTGACTATGTACTGAGTTATAGAATACAGAATTGCTGATTTAAAATGTATTTTTCAGACTATATTAAAGTATTTCACAAGAAGGGATTAAAACAAATGTGTTTAACTAATAGTTATGGACCATAAGGCAGATGTTTTTAATAATGGTCACACTAACTCTATTCTCTTAGATAGATAGATGATGCTTTAATGATGCTTTAGTATAAAGTATACTGCTGGTAGTTACAATACACACAGAATGATAAATGCATTAAAATGATTAATTTTGATTATAATCGAATCAGAGTTTTTGGTTACTTTCATATTTATAGTGTGTCACACAATTAGTGAAGAAAATAATCGATTAATATTTGTTCAACAATAGCAATCAATGGCACTTATTAGAGAAGGAAATTTGTGCATTTAAAAATAGCTATTTTCTATTTGCCACACCAATTATGTGCAGTTTGAAGCCAGAAAATCGGTACAAACAGGTGTATGATTAGTTCTGCCACACATATGCATGTTGTCACGCAGAAAAAGGGTGTGCATGCATCACTGGCGAGGCTTTCTTCACTTTTTCCACAAACAAATAGCAGTAGTTTTGAATCTAGAAACTAACATACACGATCAAATTGCACTATATAGACTATTCCTTTGGGTTTAAGATGATTCTAAAACTGAAAGCGTAACCGTACCGTGACACCAAACGCGTGTTCTGAATGCACGCATGTAGTTAGTTACTTCCATCACTGTACATATCCATCCAAAAGTCAAAAGTGGCTCTCCGCGTCCGTTATCAGCGCGTCTCGTTGCAATTGTGCGTGTCGCTGCCGATTAGAAAGATGACACTGTACAAAATCTGCAAATACCTAATGGATAAAGGAAAACCCGGTCCATGGTCCTCTCCTCCGCAGATCCACAGTGAAGTGCCGAGAGCGCGCCGCTGCCTCCACTTTACGCACGCTCCTCAGCCACCACAAGGCACGCAATAATACAAGGGGGAAAAAGTTTCATTTATTTCATAATCACACCGAAATATTCTCGGCTGTTCGGTTAAGAGTAATCCTTTCCTGTTTGTGAGAGCACTTGTTTAGATCTGTCGAATGGTCTTGGTAAATGTAATAAAAGAATATAAGTAGCATTTTAATTATCCTATACGTCATGGGCTTTCGGTACACACGTATTGCGGACCTTATCCCCAGTTAACACATCCCTCCACATCATGATGCAGAAGAAAAAATAGAAACATATGTATTTGGGAGAAAGCGTGAACTATGGGCAGGGCCGTTTCGGGAATTGGATGGCTCTTAACAAGATTGTCTTTGAGACCCCCAAATGTAATATTGAACAGAATATAAACAAGTCTCACATCTCTGGTGGATCATACCACTTAGTTAGTTGCATTTACAGGGTATTATTTCTTATATTCTCGTTTTGAATGTAATTGTAACTCACTTTTGAACAAACTTGAGCGGTTATGGTCCCGGACAAATTGGCCCTGTATGATTTTAACATCCTGCCATCCCTGTGAGAAACTCCTATCTCTTACATCCTGCTCCTCTCATTTGAATCCAGGGGGTCATGAAAACCCCATTGTGTCTAAATATTGACAAAGATTACAGATGCACTTTGTCACTTGTGTCCTTGCTCCTCAGTGAATCAATGCTCAATGTCCTTCATGACTTACAAGGTGCACACAATACAATAGTCATCCACTCCTGCAGTGGTAATACACTTCTACGGTGGCCGCAGCTGCCCTGGGGTAGGCTACCAATTGACAACAGTCACACATCAGCAAGGATAGTACTTGCCAGAGTTGTTATTTTTTCCTGAGTTATACAAACTCTGTATTTCGATGCTACCAATACATGCATTTGTTTTGTTAAAGCTTCCCCACAGAGGGGAAATTACAGTGTTGCATCACAAGTTGCAGAACAGTAGGAATAAGGAGCACGTTGTAAAGCGCTTTGGGTGACCTTGGTCTGTAAAAATGTATTATATAAATAAAGATTACTCACTTACTTACTTACACACAACATTGAACATTAGGTATAGCACTACACTAGCCTACACCTAATCTAATAGTCTTCCATCAGTTATTGGTTAAGCGTGAGGTTACAAATTTAAAACCTGTGGCTCGTGTTTCAGTTCAGCCTATATGTGGACAAAAATGTATGTAATTCACTGGTGTGGTTTGTATACAAGCGCGTTCAAGTCCCACAAGTATATATATATATATATATGAGCCGTGCCTAATATGGAAATTTATAGACCAAAGCCTCTGAAAATCCTGAAACTTGTCATTCCCCCAGTGTCAGTGAAAAGGTTTTCATGAGAGGTGCCTTGGACGTGCCACAGTGAGGTCCTTGAGTGTGCAGCTGCTCCGAACAACTCACTCGGCATATTTAGAACAACCTCTGCATGTGTATTCAGTCTGCTTATTTACTGATGAGGAGAGAAGGCAGAAGGAATTCACTTTTGCATCCTTAGTTGCTGAGTTTGAGATTTTCGAGGTTTGGTGCTTTATACACGTCTTCTTCATCTTCTGTGTTTTGTTGATGAAGTAAACATATTGATTGATTGATGTTCTGATGTGTTTTCAAGGAGTTTGCATGTTCTCTCCATGTCTAAATGTTTTCTTCGTGAACCTTTATATGTAAAATGTAATGGAAAACGCACAAATATATTTCTTATGTCTCTATCTCATAAAATCCATTTACAGTACTTTCTGAACTAATAAGCACACTTATGGCAACATTTGACAAAAAGTACATTGAAGTTCCCGGGTTTTCGTGTTGTAATGTAGTACTTAGCTGATAGCGAGACAAGGTACAGCTATGCTAACATGCTATTTTAAGGCAATCTTAACATGAGATGACACGCATGTTGTGGTCTGATTCGTTCACTGCATTTTGCTTTTGCAGTACTTTTTCTGTTGGGACAAACAAAATATATAATTTATAAAAGAAAAAAAGGGCTTCCCCAGCACACACTACAGTATACTGTATATTATGTCAGAATATTATGTCAGTATATTATGTCAGTAGACGCGTATATTATGTCAGGGCGGAAGCAGACCCCTCCGCTGCGCGTCGGGGTCCGCTTCGCCCTGTTGGTACTTATTTTCCGATAATGACCTGTATGCTATACATTATCCCTTACATATTTCTCAATATTATACATCATAACCTTAAAAGGCAGATATTACAAAAAGGTAAAAGTGACAAATACAAAAGAGGTCTGAGATGTCTAGATACAAACGGTCTTGTAATTATTGTCCTCCACAGTTTGAAATAAACTAAATTAAGTTATAGTAAGAGAGTGACACAGGTCAATGTGCTGCTGCTTCTCTGGGTCTCTGTCAGTGAGACTTTGAACATGGTCTTCACCTGAAGGGTCTCTATGGGACCTGTCTGCATACATAAATTACAATCATTGTTCAAGGACTTGTTAAATGGGTGAATACCTGCAGTAGAGTAACGTAAAATAATATATAAAATAAAAATACAGCATTTTGTTTGTGTTCCAAAAATCAATTATTAAGTAATACGTGGGGTGTCATTCTCGCTGTTGGTTACAATTATAGTGTAAAAAAGCAACAAACAAAAATTACACAAAATTTAAAAATGAAAAAAAGGAGTTTAATTTCAAGCCTACTAAAGCATTAATAACATTGTGAATCCAAGTTATTTAAACAAGGCATGTGCCCATGTTGGAATTTCAAAGCTATTGCCACTGCCAGGGTCTACATTTTATCAGTGATAAAAAAAAAAAATATCTCACATAAACAATAATGGGGCGACAGTGGCTCAGTTAGAGCATTGGCCTTTGAGCCTGAAGGTTGTGGGTTTGAGCCCACCGTAAGACCTACTTCACCACTCCCACTGATGACTGCTGTCGTTGTGTCCTTGGGTAAGACACTTAACCCCACTTTGCCTAAAGCCCCCGCTGAAAGATCTCAGCTCCTGTGGACTCACCACCTGCAGAAGGATCAGTGAGGGGCTGGTGCTCTGTGTACAACTCTGACTGCCACCCCCCGACCCAGAAATGGTTTAAGGGGAAGAAAATGGATGGACATTAACAATAAGACGTTCTGGCTGTGTTTTATATTGGACCAAGGCCTCCACAGTTCCTCAATACGCCCCTATGTTACAGACAGGGTCAAGACACCAAGGTTACACACAGAAGATGATCCTTTGGTCCTCATAAATAGAACGACTTCTTGCCCAAACAATCTCGGCCTGTATACAAAAGTTTTTGCTTTTTATTCCTAACCATTCATTATTCACACATTTGGTGTATCTACCCCCATTTAAACATTTAAAGTGACCGTATGCAATATGCTCAATTAGTGGTCTAATTAAGTCCATACAATTATAATCAAATGCAGATTCATTTTATTTGCTGTTAGCAGTGAAACCACATTGGAATACATTTGCAAAAGTCCCCAGTGTGCACCGTACATAAAACAAGATTTAAAAAAAACACAGGAATAAAGAAAGCTAAAAAAGCGCAGGAAACAATTGTTGCTGTGAATCAATCAACAAAAACCATTTAAATACTAAAGCAAGATCATTAAAGTGCTTTGTTCAAACTGATAACAGCTGTTTGCAAAACGAGATGTCCTGCATCTCAACGAACAATATCTTCTGCCAGAGGGAAAAAGCTGGAACATGGTTTTTCCAGGGTGGCCATGGAGTCATTGATTATTTTAAGAGTTCGGTTAAGGAGTCTGGATTTGGTTCAGGAGTCTGGATTCCTAAAGAACCTCCAGAACATTCAGCTCAGTCCTCTTTGCAGAGCGGAGCACCTAGTTTAGAGCTGATGCTGCAGAACCAACAATCCAACTTTCAAGGGTGCAGCGATTAAAGTTCAGCAGAGTCTTAGAGTTTGTGGTAAATTCTTTAAGCTTCCACTTTCTTACCAACCTGATTTGTGTG